AAAACCAGATTGAAATCTCTCATAGATGTTATTATTAACCAGGTGTAAATGAAGTTGAGCTGCAACCACTTTTTCGAGTATCTTAGAAATGAAGGGTAGATTGGAAATCGGACGGAGGTTGTTAAAGTTGTTAGGATCTAAAGAAGGTTTTTTCAGTATAGGAGTGACTAGAGCAGTCTTCAATAAGGAGGGAACGTGCGTAGCTGTTTTATTTTATTTTATTTTATTATCTTAGAGCAGGGGTAGGCAACTCACCTGAATCAAATGCTTAGTTCATTACCAGGCCTTTGGAGAACTTCAAGACATGTTGAGGAGGTAATTTAGCCATTTAATCAGTTGTGTTGAATCAAGGATACATCTAAAACCTGCAGGACACCGGCACTCGAGGCCTGGAGTTGCTTACCCCTGTCTTAGAGTTTTTAATAGAAGTTGTTTTGGTTCTATTATTGGTTTATTAACACATTTCTGGTGTTTCTTTTTGTGCTTCTCTCTGTTGCATTTCTGTGTTTATGCCTTGGTCCCTCTCCGCTCCCTTCTCTCTGTCATCTTGCTAAGTGTTACTGTTGGTATCTCTCAGCCTCTTTAAATCATTACCGGCTTTTACTTTGAAAATTGTTTTCTTTTGTTTTGCTTCCTGTCTGCCTTCCCTAATGATTTTTACCTGTTGCTGACTGTGTTCCCCTGTGTGCCTCTCCCCCTGTTTCTCATTATTTGTCAGTTGTCTGTCTTTCTTTCATCTTTTATCACATCATCTGTTTGCTTATTTTAGTTTCTTGTGTTTTGAACTTGGATAGCTGCCACTAAAGCTTGCTTTTGCAGTTCATGAACTCTCTCCTGCATTCTGTCTTTGGTTCCACCTTTCTGGTCACTATCAGTCAGCAGGGATAAATGTTGACATTTTGAGTCAGGTGTCTCAAAATGTCAACTTACTGACTTCTAAGCAATCAAAGTTTTGAGATACCTAACTGGAAATTTTGACCAATGCATTAAGTGGTACAAGAGTTTATAAGCTGTCTGTTAAAGGGTATAGTGAGAAAGGTTCATAAGGATACCGAGGTGGGTCTTGATTTGTTACTCAAATTCGAGGTTGGTAATAAAAATTCAGTAAACAATAGCGGCATGTTTCATTTTTGATTTATGGCAGGGAGGTACTATTTTAAGGTCAATATAAAATATTTGGCATCATTTTTCCCTTCATTATAATGGACTACTGATGCACACATATATGCAAATAAAATCTGCCCTCTAGCTCTGTGTTTTCTTTTAAAAAAAAATCTATTTACCTTTTTAAAACCCCCTCCGACTCACCTTCTCTGTGTCACGTTTACTGGTTTGTCTCCATGCCAGACCGGTTGCTGCTCCTGGAGGATACATGTTGACGTCAGGTGCCTGTTTATTCCAGAGAGGCTGAATCTGTCTCCATCCTTTCTTCCTCCTCTCACACTCCCACGGCTTTCTGTTCTGTGCTGACTCCAGGTCCCTTTTATCTGTGTGAATGAGATTCAGCGTTTCTCCTGCAGTTAACAGATGGCACGAAAAGACACATTTTCAGGCGTGCTGCAACACTTTAACCTTGATGTAGCTTTGACACACGCTAACAGGCACCCATATCTCACCTGTGCTTCCTTTCCCAGTGATAACTCTCCTCACCTTGTTGAGTTTGCTGCACAAGTGCTCTTCTTGTTTTACATTTTTCCTGGGAGGTTTTTGAATCAGTAGCTCTACTCTTTATCTATCTGTGCCGTCATGTCAATGCACACACAGGTTTGCGAAAAGGTAAATGTCTGCCCGCACACACTGACTGATCAATAACACTGAGTGCAGCGCTGTCTGTTTCATGCGCTGCTGTCCCAATAGAGCGCAGACATCAGCTATGATCAATAACTTAATGGAGGTTACAGTAAGTGGGGAAGGGCGTGAAAAAGGAGGCATGCTGTGCATAGCTGAAGTGATAGATGAGTGTGTTTCTCTGCAATGCTTTTGGATGCTGAAGTAACTATCATCAGTCTCCCTCGTTCATTCTCTGTTTAACCTGGTCACTCTCTGTCCCAGACTCTCACGGAGCCTGCCATCTTTGCCAATGAGACCAGCTGTGACTGTCGCGCGCCTCATGAGAAGCTCACCATTGCTCAGGCCTGCAAAGGCACCCCAGGTAGACCTCCTGCTGTTTGGTATCCTCCTGTCTTGCGCACAGTCTTCTCCCAGCTTTGATGTTTTCCATTTACAGCATTCCTCTGCAACATCTCCTACTGCACTACTCTATCACAATCACTTCTTTTTCTACTACTACTACAACGCACTGCTACAGCTCCTATTGCTCTTGCAACTAATGGTTCTGTTCCAAGTGTTTGTACTATGAACTCTCAGAGCAGCTACTACACTCTTACCCCTGATGTCATTACCACCACTAGTTCTGTGCTAACTCCTTCCACTAAATGTGTTGTTGTCTGCTGTTGCCATTTTTACAGCTGCCACTTCCCATGTATTCTTGTACTTGCACTGCTACATTAATTATAGTATGTGAGATAATAGCATGTGTTTTTACAAGATAATTGGACTGAAATGGGCAAGTCATTACTGGTCCTTTTCATGTCACCACCACTGCTGGGGACGACTGAACTTGTAATTAATGTAGGGGTTTAACTACATATTGCAGTAACTTGCTGGCAGTTCAACTACACTCATTACTTCCACAAAAGAGTCTCTTTCTTTCTTTTGTCTTTGTCTTTCTGTCTGTTAGCATGTTATTTAAAAAGGTATGGCTATAAACTGCTCAAACAAATTATTGTAATGCTTTGAAAACACATTAGAAAAAATCATGCTGGATATCTACATTGACGTGGACTGTGTAATGGTTTAGGAATGAAAGCAGGAGGCTAGTCAATTTTGCTGAAGTTTAATTGCACCAACTCACTATGGTACTCAGTAGCTTGTACTCACACCAGTGGCCTGCTGGAGGTCATTTCTTTGGGTCAGTGCTCATCCTGTTCCTCCTGCACTAAGGAGCAGATACCGAGCCCTGTCCAGCTCTTCTAGAATAACTGTCTGTCTCCTGGTATCTCCTGCGTGCTATTGAGGCCGTGCTGGGAGACACCAAACCTTCTGACAATGGCACCCACTGATGTGCAATCCTGGAGGAGTTGGACAACCTGTGCAACCGCTGTTGGGTCCAGGTGTTAGCTCATGCTACCAGCAGTGATGCTGACCCTAGTCGAATCCAAAGCTGGTGAAAAACAGTCAGAAAAAGATAAAGAGGAAAAAAATCCTTTGACTCCAAAAGCACTGCCAATTTGATCATGCTCGGAAACATTTAAAAATGTTTAAATGAGCCTCTGTGGCTCCAGATGAAGCTGTGCAAAAGTACTGTAAGTATTCTCTGTTTCTGTGTTTGACTCGAGGCTATATCCACTGTTACTCTAACAGCACACCACTTCACTTATGCTTACCTGTTCCCGTGATGTTGTACTGTTTTTGTGTTTCTGTATTTTCAGTGGACCGGCCAGTCAGAGTCTACGCAGATGGCATCTTTGACCTATTCCACTCTGGACACGCTCGTGCTCTCATGCAGGCCAAGAATCTCTTTCCAAACACCTACCTCATAGTAGGAGGTAAGACAGACCACACTGGTACGGTTTCACCTGTCCAGATTTGTTATTTAATCACCTCACACGAGTTTTATGTATGTCGCTGCTGTGCTCTTGAAACAGTGTGCAGTGATGAACTAACCCACAAGTACAAGGGCTTCACGGTCATGACGGAGCACGAACGTTACGAGGCGCTGAGACACTGCCGCTATGTCGATGAGGTCTTGAGAGATGCACCCTGGACTCTCACGCCTGAGTTCCTTGAGAAACACAAGGTGTGTGTGTGTGTGTGTGTGTGTGGGAGGCGGGGGTTTGAACTATATAAGCTTTAAAGTGGATGAAATATTTTGTTCACTAATCGGCTAAGTTTTGAGACACTTGTTGCTCAAAATTAGGATCTTGACAGTTCCTTGGGCTTTAAAGTTTGTGGTTTCAGGGTGAAGTTACCTGAAAGAAACTTACCTGCTCACATTCAGTCAATGGTGCAGGCAGTGTTAGCAATTAAGTTTATTTTAGTTTAGTTTTGCTATTAAATTCAATTATATTTCACTCAGATCTAGTCTAATCTAGTTTAGCTCCTTTAATGCTGCTGTGCTTTGATATACAGGTAGAGCTCATTCACTTATCAGAAGATCAGTAGTTTGATCCCCAGGGAGCAAATACTGAACCCCAACTCCCCCTCAGTGCATCTGTCAGAGTGTACGAATGAAATGCTTAGAGGAAGAGAATAAACGCGCTATGTGAATGTGTGTAAACGGGTGAATGAAGCTCGAGTGCTTCGAGTAGAAGTATTAGTAAATGTACTATATGTATTGCACACATTCACTTACACAAACCTGTCACCTGTGACCTAATACCTGTAGCTAGTGAGTAAAGTATTTGAGGAGGATGCTATGCTGTGAGTAAGGAAATCTTCTTTACTATTTAGGAGACCTCTAATGATGAGACGCTTGTGACTATCACCCCAAAGTTCTGTGTGCAATGATGTGTTCATGACCATGCCATGTCTAACTTTAAGCATGCATATTTTGCCCTTGAAAGACCTCTGCTGCACGTTCACTTTTGTGTGTGCCAACAGTGCGTGTCCTTTGATTGTTCCTCAGATCGATTTTGTGGCTCATGATGATATTCCATACTCCTCAGCAGGAAGTGAGGACGTTTACAAACACATCAAGGAGGCAGGTCAGTGTCTGATAATTAAAAGGACATAAAATAACTGTGTTTTCCACCATAAAACATACCTGCTGTGTGTGTGTGTATATTAGGGATGTTTGTACCCACGCAACGCACAGAAGGAATCTCCACCTCTGACCTGATTACGAGAATTGTCAGAGACTATGACGTCTACGCCCGACGCAACCTTCAACGTGGCTACACGGCCAAGGAGCTTAATGTCAGCTACATCAATGTGAGAACATTTTACTGCACTGTGTTGTATTTCTAAACATCAGCTTAGCACAGATTAATGTGAAAAAAAGCTGATTTTCTTCTTTTGAGAAAGTAACAGGTCTTTGGATATTGTGCATCACAGTTGTATGGAGCTTAATTTGCGATGTGACTACAAAGCTGCGGTGTTGAAAACTGACCTCAGACATATGCTTCCTATTTACAACATTCACAATTTTTGATTTAGGTTCTGGTTCTCCAAAAACGTGGCAATTATCCGCAATATTTTGTGCCTTCAGGAGAAGAAGTACCGGCTACAGAACCAAGTGGATCGGATGAAGGAAAAAGTTCGCACAGTTGAGGAAAAGAGCAAGCATTTTGTTTACCGCGTGGAGGAGAAGAGTCACGACCTCATTCAGAAATGGGAAGAAAAATCCAGAGAATTCATCGGAAACTTCCTAGAATTATTTGGACCTGATGGGACATGGGTAAGTAACTATGCAATGCAATGTCAACGCTTACTAAATATAGAAAAAACTTTTAAATACTTAATATCGTTTGGTCACTGGAATGTCTTTGACACATTTTCAAGTTTTATTCCCTGTCGCTTGTACTTTGATGTGATAACAAGTCCAGTGTGGTTGGGCCCAGTCTGTGGCGCCGCTGCAGGGGAGGCGTGATGAGGCGATGCAGCTCTGGTGTGTCAGCCTCCCCGCAGCAGCGCCACAGAGCGCGCCCCGTCACATTCAGTTTTCTCAGGTGATCTGATTTCCTAACATTTCAATCTTCTTTCCCCTCTCTGTGCAGAAACAAGTGTTTCAGGAGCGCAGTGGTCGAATGCTCTCCTACGCTCTGTCTCCCAGAGAGTCGCCCAGCAATAGCCCTCCCCGCGAACTTTCCCCCCTGCGCTCACCCTCTCCCCCGTCTCCCCCCGCCCGCTGGCACAACGCGCGGCCCTCGCCCCCCACCTCCCCAAAAGGAGCGTCTGCCTCTATAAGCAGCATGAGCGAAGGGGATGAAGACGAGAAGTAGACGGTCACACCAACCTGCGCACGCGCACACTCACACGCAAGCACACCTCACTCACAAACACATGCACACACTCCTCCAAACACTGGCTGACAAACTGAAAAACAGTTACCCTCAAGGATGTTGCAAATATGCAATGCAGACGGTGATCATGGGGAATCTGAGCTGCAGAGCTAAGAAGCCATCACTGTCTCTGTTGTTTCTGGGCAACCAAGCAGACAGGAGGAAGAGGAAGGAAGAAGATGAGGACACAGTGTCAGATTTTGTAAGGACAGAAATCCCGTGCAGCATCTTTGACTGTCCAGCACTGATAGAGACTGTCAAACAGCTTGCTTATAATATCATCAGTTTTGTTTTTTTGTCTTATTATGTGAGATTATCATTTTCTCTTCACGATGCCTAGTTTTCTTGTAACCGGTGTGATAGCTATGCGCGAGTAGGCACAGACTTACAGAAACACCTCGTCTTACATTCAGTTCTACATATCGTCTACACTGAAACTGGTTTCATTCATTTTGTGTAATTTTGTGCTAGTTAAACAGAATTTAAACGAACCCTAGAGTAGCTGAGGCGATGCTTGGATAACGCACGGCCTTTGCTGTTTTAGACCGTGTTCACAAAAACGATCACATTGAAATTCACTAATCACAAGTTACTTCTAAGATATTCATATGAAATTCTCTGCAGGAGCCCAGAAGAAGAACGTATATTGTCAAGTTTCTGAAATGCAGATGATATGTGCAAAAAATCCTAAGCAAAACCCATCAAGATACAGAAAAAAAGACAAAAAAACTACTTTTAAAGATCACTTTTTTTTTTTGGTGATTGTAAAAGAGACACAAAATCCAATCCTTGAGGCTTCATGCAACAAATAGTTTGATGAAATAGAAAAAATAGAGCCTTTGTTTATTAACCTCTTGAATGTAAATTGCATTTTTTAGACTCCACAAAGAGGTAATGTTATCACTCTCACATCTAGCCGTATAAAAGGTTGCGTCTCACCTGTTAAAGGAAGCACTTGTGGATTTTCACCATTAAAAAAAAAGCCATGTCATTTTTTAAGTCGTTTTTCATGTTTAGCAGAGATTTCTGTGGCTCTTTGGGATCTGATGTCAGCCGTCCACAAAAACCTGACAAACTCTGACGATACTTGAAATATCTCAAAAATATTAAAGCTCAGCGGGTGAATCGTCAGGCTTGAACATAGCGCTGTTCTCGCTGCGATGATTAGAAATGTACGTTGCTCACATCTGAGCAGACCTCTCTTCCACCCCAACAACACAGTAAGTACCCTATAATGCAACGTAGAGATCTTAATGTCCTGTACGCACTACATGTTAATCTGCACTATATGAAGAAAATTTGGGAATGTGTGTCTTTTTTTTATTATTCATTTTAATGTTCAAATGAATCAAAATGTGAATAAAAGAAAAAAAAATGTATAACAGAATATGAAGCAGACTTTTAGACTTTTTAATTGACGCTAAAAAGTTAATGGTCAATAGAGACTGGGGGGGAATGACTTTAGTTCAATAGCTGACTCAACTTTGTGCAAATAAAGAGTTGAATTAGTGGGAAATGTGCAAAGAACACTGTTAAACTCCAGTGACAGTCTGTGTGGTATTTCCTACACTGTTACACTTTAGTTTGATATTAAAAACAATATAAAACCCCAGTAGCACACATATATGGAAAGTGGTGTAGGTAGTGGTCATGTGAAAAAGAAGGTATGGAGTCTTTCACTTCTACTTTTTCAAATATCAGGACATAAAAATAATCCAATCCTTAGCTGTTTTAAAAAATTACGTATGTGAAACAAGATACAACCTATTAGACTGTATCATTATTTCCACCTTCCACAACAATTAGAAGGATAAGTAAGTGTGAAAGCAGAGGTTTCAGCAGTGTTTTTGGTCTGGAGGGGTTTTCTCTATATAAAGAACACCGCACAGCTCAGGCTTGCAAAGCTGCATTTGAACAAACCACAAGACCTCTGGATTGTTCCCATAATAAGCAGAGAAACCTAAACACAGCTGTCAGCACGGTGGTGGTGGGGTAATGATTAGGGCTTATTTTACAGCCACAGGACCAGGACACCTTCCAGTCACTAAGCAGACCATGAATTCATCTGTAAACCAAACTATTATAGAGTCAAATGTGAGGTCACCTTTCAGTCAGTTAAAGCTGGACTCTAACTGGGTCATGCTACAGGATAACAATCTCAAGCACCGCAGCAATTCTACAACAGAATGGCTGAAAACGAAAAGAATAAGTCAAAGTCCAGATCACAAACTGATTGAAATACTGTTGCAGGACATGAACTGTTTAATGTAATCATGCATAATTGCGCCGTATGTGGTGTGGACCAGAATGTTTCAACACTGTGGAAAAAACCCCCGATCTGGTCACAGCGTGGATAAAAACTGAACACAGCGATTACACACAACAGCAAATCTCTTTTATTGTAATGTTTGACAGTTGGTATTGGAAGTTCATCTCATGCTGAATCACATTATAAGACAATTGTAAAACTTTTTTTTTTGGTGTACTCAAGTTGATGTTGCACGGCCACCTCTTATCCAGGAGACTCCAAATGCAGTATTTAAGCTGGATGTACAGTAGGCTGGAAAATACACTCATCACTCCACACTGGCTGCATGTACAGTATATACATGCATGCATACATACATGCTTATGATTTTCTAAAATACTCTTACCACATAGAAGGTCTTTAAACAGTAAACTACTACAAGTAGAAGATCTTCATTTCAATAAATGATGGAAACTGGAAGTATAACTTTGATCAAGATGTGGTTTTTAGGTGACTGGTCAACAACAGGACCACACTGGCCTACACATCAACCGCTAACCTATAATGCAGCTCATCCTCTAAGGTAGGTTATTCACAGGGTATCAGCCACACTTGCAGGTCACAAAGGAATTGGCAGTGATGAAATCTGATGGTTAATATGTCGGTTTCCACACCGAGTTTCTCTCTTTACACGTCAGGTGAAGCTAAATGACATGAGAAAAATAAGTCTCTTCGTATTTGTGAAAATCTCCCAACATTTGCTTTAAATAAATCCAGGTTTGAGCCATGACTCATTTAAGTTTTGGTCTTTTTCAGCAGCCTCAAAATAAATTCAAAAATAAAAAAATAAAAAATTGCATCACTATTAGTAAATCCTGACCTGGGATCCAATCCGATTTAATTAGCTCCTTCATAGAGGTCTGGAGTGATTGCATGAAAACTACACGAGGTTAAAAATATAGACTTAGAATTAGTAAAGTGCACAAAAACAGGTTCCTGAATATGATCCATGTGCCAAAAAAAGAGAAAAAAAAAGTGGATGGATTGATGCACAACTTTCAGTGCCCTGGAGACTCTGCTTCTTTGACCACATTTTCCTCTGCCGACTTATCCAAACCCTCAACTGTGTGTGCCACATGACTTCCTATTGTATAAATAAGGAAAGAAAATCAAGTTAAAAACTTACAAATCACTAAAAGATGAATTAAAAGCAATCACGTGTCAGTGCCAAAAGACAAAAAAAGCCAAGGGAAATTGTGCACAATTGTACAAATAAACTAAAAGCCTGTCAAGTATCTGCTCTTACATTTAGCTTCTAATTCAGTTATTTTCACTCAAGTTAAAAAAAAGCAAAAGCACATAAAAAAAGCAAAACTTTGTTCAAACTCAGAAGACTATGAGGATTAGTAGTACCACAAAATAGATACACGCTGACCCGATGAAGCATTGTTAGGAATAAAAAAGGTCAAAGATGCGAGCAAGTTGCTTATCCACCGTGGCGTGCTGGCAGGACGAAATAGGAAGTGTCGAAATAAAAGCTGTAATCCCACTTTTTGTTTTTTTTAAATAGTCCAAGTGTGATCCCAGCAGATCCATCGCATTTAGCAAGGGTTTTTTTTCCTCTAAGCAATACATGGTGCTGGTGTGGCTGAAAAATGACACGACTGCAGTACTCCTACTGCAACCCTGCGTTTTCCTCCATCCGGTGTTTTGCTGAGAGGACAAACTGACTAAAAAAACCCCCAAAAAACTTAATTACGATTTATTAATGAGCAATTCAGATTATGCGAGTGCATCGTCGCTACTCAAGCAAAGTCTTTTATGATCATTGGAAAAGATAAAAGAGTAATAATGATGATGCTACTATCATTTGAATCACAGTGAATACACAACTCATTTCCTAAGCATCCAAGAGATGCTCCATTTCTCTGTTAGTAGTTGTTAAATCAGGACAAAGAGCAAATATATTTGATGGGGTTAGTACCATTTGTTAATGGTCTGCAGGTGGCTGGTTATCCTCTAAGCGTAAAGCTAAACAAAGTTGAGTAAAAAAAAAAAAACACTCAACTTTTCACTTCTAACATCGTCCCTTTTAAATGCTCTTCAAGTTCCAGCCTTCAAAGGCGGGCTTTTTAAAAACAATAAATATGCCATACGTTACCAGAACTTTTCATTAAATAAAAACATGACTTTTAGAAGCTTTAAGAATAAAGTGTATGCTTCATCCATTGGTTCTCAAGCTAAAAACGGAGGGCAGCCAAAACAAGTCTCTATGCCAAGGGCACACCGACCTAATTGTGCGTTCAGTGAAGAGTGTATCCGAAAGGAAGGAAGTAAAACCTCCTCCTATTCTAACTTGCACTCAAACTAACCCCTTTCTCCTGACTCTGCCTGTGTGTGGCGAGAAAGAAACAGAACACGAGCGTTTACTGACACTCAATCAGCAGCGGGAGGGGAGCTTATTCAGCTGCACAGAGCAGTAGCCTAGTCAGCAGCAGGCCAATGTGAGTGAGACAGAGGAAGAGATGGCAGTACTGCTAGAAAGTAAACTTGAAGAAATGAAGTTCACCTTTGTAAAGGTTCACGAGAGTAACCAGATATTTTTAAAGGGGTCGGACACTGGGGGTCTTTTAAACCTCGTCTTACAGCCAGTGGTGAAGCCACAACAGTGAAAGCTACGCTGATGAAGGCCATTGCCATTGGGTACCGATATGAGTGGAGGACATCCATCCTTTCAGAACCTTTAGCGA